TACAGATAAGGAACACATACACATGCTACACTGACTTCACCTTCCAAATACAGATAAGGAACACATACACATGCTACACTGACTTCACCTTCCAAATACAGATAAGGAACACATACACACACTACACTGACTTCACCTTCCAAATACAGATAAGGAACATATACACACACTACACTGACTTCACCTTCCAAATACAGATAAGGAACATATACACATACAACACTGACTTTACCTTCCAAATACAGATAAGGAACATATACACATGCTACACTGACTTCACCTTCCAAATACAGATAAGGAACATATACACATACAACACTGACTTCACCTTCCAAATACAGATAAGGAACACATACACATGCTACACTGACTTCACCTTCCAAATACAGATAAGGAACATATACACATACAACACTGACTTCACCTTCCAAATACAGATAAGGAACACATACACACGCTACACTGACTTCACCTTCCAAATACAGATAAGGAACATATACACACACTACACTGACTTCACCTTCCAAATACAGATAAGGAACATATACACATGCTACACTGACTTCACCTTCCAAACATAGATAAGGAACATATACACATACAACACTGACTTCACCTTCTAAATACACATAAGGAACACATACACATGCTACACTGACTTCACCTTCCAAACATAGATAAGGAACACATACACATGCTACACTGACTTCACCTTCCAAATACAGATAAGGAACATATACACATGCTACACTGACTTCACCTTCCAAACACAGATAAGGAACATATACACACATGCTACACTGACTTCACCTTCCAAATACAGATAAGGAACACATACACATGCTATCTTCTGATCTTATCAGTGTTGCCGATACTATTAAATGGAGTTAGTAAGTGACAGGTGTTTGTTTCTTTAAAACATTGTGACAAACTCTGACATGTGAGGTGAGGGTAATAAGCTGTGAATGTTCCTACTTTGTTTTCGAAAAAAAAAGAGAGTCCAGTAATGACTTTTGGGGGTCATTTGTTAATTAGAAGTCACTATATGAATGATATATACATTAAAGATTTTGAAGTGGAACACAGGAAAACAGACTTAGCTTATCATTATATTAGGCAATTACTGAAGTGATTATGGTAACAATTAACTAGTATATAACACTGTGTTTGTAAAATGTACTTAAGAAACTCACCTGATTGTCTTCTTTGATATTTCATAATCTGTAATTCCATAATAAGAAACTGTTTCGTTGAATTCAGGGTTAAGTGTCTTATGTACAGTCCTTGTTCTTAGTTTGTTGGCCTAAAACAAAAACTATGATAGTGACTTTTCCAGTATGATCACTGAAATAAAAGCAAATTTTCTCACACAAATGAACTTAATTTTAGCTCTGCAGCTTGTTTTAAAATGTACAATGTATTTGCAAGTCCTGTGAGTAAATTGTAGTCTTTTTTTTTAAACTGAGATATATTAAAACATGAAACTAGCAACCAGCCTGTGTTCAAATGAACAAATAATGAAGCATACCTCTTACATCATGTTTACCCCTGAAGAAGAAAGGTCCACCTTTCGTATGCACTCAGGTTATAAGGTTTTATATTGAACCTGCATGTTTTTCTGACATCATGAGCTTACACTATAAAGTGTTGATCAGAGTATCTCGGACACATTATAATTTATAGAAAGCAACCATAAACTTCAGAACAAAGTTGTTTTTTATTTATTTATGTTGTTTAACATTTAGTTTGTACAACTTCTTCATAAGCAACTTGCTACTTAAACTGGTTGGTGTACACTGAACGCAAAAATAACAATCTTCTTACAGTCATGACTGTAACAACAACTATCTTCTTACAGTCATGACTGTAACAACAACTATCTTCTTACAGTCATGACTGTAACAACAACTATCTTCTTACAGTCATGACTGTAACAACAACTATCTTCTTACAGTCATGACTATAACAACAACTACCTTCTTATAGTCATGACTGTAACAACAACTATCTTCTTATAGTCATGACTATAACAACAACTATCTTCTTACAGTCATGGCTGTAACAACAACTATCTTCTTACAGTCATGGCTGTAACAACAACTATCTTCTTACAGTCATGACTATAACAACAACTACCTTCTTACAGTCATGGCTGTAACAACAACTATCTTCTTACAGTCATGGCTGTAACAACAACTATCTTCTTACAGTCATGACTATAACAACAACTACCTTCTTACAGTCATGAAACATTAAGCAAAATAAAAACAACAACCTTGTCATTGAGTTTATGGGAGTTTTCTTTACAGTACAATAAATGTAAAACTTCCCTGGATTGTTGATGACAATCTTGTGCACTTTCATATATTTTAATACTAATATATAATAGATGGCAATAATAAATTTAAATAATGTTATGAGAATTATCAATATTCAGAGTTATCATATTATAACTAAGTACAAGATTTCAGTTTTTATGTTGAAAAATACTGAAACAACTAGAAATAAAAGATCAATCATAAGTATTTGGAAGAAACAAAAATATAAACTTTTCTTACAAATGTCATATAAAAGGAATTATTTTTGTTCATTAAAAAAGATTTATACCTCATCTGCTCATACCATGTAGTAATATTCATTATTTATAAGCACAATTAAAAGATAAATAATTCAATCACAGTTTGACCCCCAGTGGCACAGCTGTATGTCTGTGGACTTACAATGCTAGAAACTGGGTTTCAATACCCATGGTTGGCAGAGCACAGATAGCCCATTGCATAGCTTTGTGCTTAATTACAAACAAACAATCAACTGTTCACAGCCAATACTATTTACAAGCAGGTTGTCCATTGAAATATAAACTTTCTGTCATGACCATCATCAAAGTTTTCCTCTATGTTCCTTACACAATCATAACTTGCTAAGTTCATAGTTTAGTTGTACTTTGTAGTTTCTATAGTTTCTAATGGTTGGACAATCTTAAGGTATGATCTTGTAAGCATTAAATAAAACTAGCAACATATAACAATACCTTTGTTATCAACAGTGTTATTGTTAGCAGTAAGTAATACTGATGTTGGTACAGCACTAGGTAATGGTACCTTTGTTATCAATGGTATTACTGTTAGCAGTAAGTAATACTGATGTTGGTATAGCACTAGGTAATAGTACCCTTATTATCAACAATGTTATTGTTAGCAGTAAATAATACTGATGTTAGTATAGCACTAGGTAACAGTACCTTTGTTATCAACAGTGTTATTGTTAGCAGTAAGTAATACTGGTGTTGGTATAGCACTAGGTAACAATACCTTTGTTATCAATAGTGTTATTGTTAGCAGTAAATAATACTGATATTGGTATAGCACTAGGTAACAGTACCTTTGTTATCAACAGTGTTATTGTTAACAGTAAGTAATAATGATGTTAGTATAGCACTAGGTAACAGTACCTTTGTTACCAATAGTGTTATTGTTAGCAGTAAGTAATACTGATGTTGGTATAGCACTAGGTAACACTAACCTTGTTATCAACAGTGTTATTGTTAGCAATAAGTAATACTGATGTTGGTATAGCACTAAGTAACACTTAGCTTTTGCTATTGCTAGATAACACTGTTGTTTTAATAGCACTAGATAACATGGCTTTGTTGGCATTAGATAACACTGCTATTTTTCGTGATAACTAACACAAACATTGTTAACACTAGATAATGCTGATTTTACAAGTGCTAAATAACACTGAGATTGTTGGTACTAGACAACACTGACTTGGTCGATGCTAGATAACACTGATACTTCTAACACTAAATAACACTGAGATTGTTGGTACTAGACAACACTGACTTGGTTGATGCTAGATAACACTGATACTTCGACACTAAATAACACTGACCTTGCTTGCACCTGGTAAAAGATGGAGTTTAACGTAGGGATCAGAGAATCCATTGTAATCCATGGCTTTTAAACCCTGAGGAAATTTAAAAAAAGCATCAACATAAATTTAGAAATGTAAAAGAGTAATTTTTAAATCAGTTCTATTAAAGAACATTGTAATTAAAACTTACTTCTTAATTACTAGTTGGCATTAGAGGCTATGTTTGAAGTCTGTTTCATTAAAATATGACTGCTCAGTAAAGATGATCATAACCAGGACTTCTATATTATCATTCCAAAACATGCCTTTATATAAATGTTTGAAGTTTGTTTCATTAATAGTCAATGTTTATGATCTGGAAACTGTTCACAGTATTTTTATTGTGAGAAATATCAAAACACATAATGTAGGAAAACTAATCAGGACAACGTTTTCAATATTCTTGTTATAGGAACTTTCACAAATGTAATGTAGGAAAGCTATCCAGGACAATGTTCTCAATATTTTTGATGTAGGAAATATCAAAACATGTAACATACAAAACTTATTCAGGACACTCTTAATATTCTTGATGCAGGAAATATTGAAAAACGTAATGCAAGAAAGTACTTCATGACACAATTGTCAATATTCTTTATGAAAGAAATATCGATATACATAATGTACGAACACTATGGGAATTATAGAAACACACAATATAGGATAGCTATCCAGGACAATGTTCTCAATATTATTTACATGGGAAATATTGATAAACACAATTTAGGAAAGTTACACAAGACTCCATTCTCAACATTCTTGATGCAAGAAATACTAAAACATGTAATATAGTAGATCTAATCAAGACACCATTCTCAATATTCTTGAAATAAAATATATCAAAACACATAATGTATAGAAGCTATCAAGAACACCAGTCTAAATGTTCTTGATGTGAGAAATATTGAAACACATAATGTAGGAAAGCTAAACAGAACACTTTTCTAAGTATCTTGATGTGAGAAACATTAATAAACGTAATTTATGAAAGCTAACCAGGAAAGCAGTCTCAATATTATTAATATGACAAACATCAAAACATATAATGTAGTTAGTTATGCTATCCAGAAAACTTTTCTTGATATTCTTGAGGTAGGAAGTATTGAAACACATAAGGTACGAAAGCTGCTCTGGAAACCATTTTCAATATTCTTTTGTTGGGAAATATTGAAAGCTATTCAGAACACTATTCTCAATAAACTTTATGTGTAAAATAATAAAAATACATAATGTGGGAAAGCTAACCAGGAGACTATTCTCAACAATCTTCATGTGTAAAATAATAAAATACATAATGTGGGAAAGCGAACCAAGGCCCACATTATGTATTTTGTTATTTTACACATAAAGATTATTGAGAATAGTCTAATAGTCTCCTGGTTAGCTTTATCAATAATTTTTTATGTGTAAAATAACAAAATACATAATGTGGGAAAGCTATCCAGGACACTGTTGTCGGTATACTTGTTGTAGGAAACATCAATATAAGTAATGCAGGAAAACTATTTAGGACATAGTTCTCAATATTCTTGATGTAGGAAATGACAAAATGTATAATGTAGGAAAGCTTGATGTGAGGAATATCAAAACCTGTAATGTAGGAATACTAGCCAGGACACCATTTTCAATATTCCTTATGTAGGAAACAACAAAACACATAATAAAGGAAACCCATTTTCTTTTTCTCGTCAGAAATATTGAAAAATTTAATAATGAAAATTTATTTCATCTTTTTTTTTAATGAAAATAACAACTGAGTAAGTGCCCCTTTAGGTTAGAGCATAAGTGGAGCTATGGGTTGGTGAACTGAGTAAAGGTAACACATTTCTTGGGGCCAGGGACAAGAATAACATAGTTATCATACATTGCATAATGTTCTTTAGTCTTATTTTGTGGGTTTTACATTAGAACAAATACTTAACTTTAAAAATGTTCAGTAAGTTTAGCCTCAAGACATTCGAGTGCATATAGGGTTAAGAATGTTGTAAATTTGTTTAGGATTCTTATGAAATTGTTTTTGTCTATGTCACCACATTCAGTCATGTTGTATCTGACAATCATGTAATTTAACAGCAGCCTTACAGTCCAGCACCCATTTTAACAGTCCAATCTCAGAAACACATAGGCATTTTTGTCTGGTAACTTAACAGGTATGTCTACATGTGAAATACCATGAATACTCATTTCCTTTTCCAGTTGCTTGAAGCATGCAACAGTTGGATGAATATGTCATGAAAGCAGCTTGTGTAGTATTTTCCAGAAGATCCTTCTTGATTTTCTTGCATACTGTTGCTTGAAACATGTGGACTTCTTTTTCCACTGACATTTGTGTTTGTGAATTATCACCTGTTTACCATGGTTGGAGTGTAATTTGTCTCAGGTCTCTTTCTTTATGGTTCTGATATGCCAAGTTGATCTATATTCCTTTGTTTCTCAATGCCATTAAGTACAAGGGATATCCGCATCTTGGTAAATCTACATATTTAATCTAAACACATCTTTATGATCTGAGTTTATGAATATGTTTCATCTGATAGGGGTGTTACATAACTTTCCCTAAAGCAAATAAATTTCAGTTGCATCACACTACCTATAAAATTCAACCTTTTATTATATGATCTAAAGTGCTGTAAGACATACTACTTACTTTGGCTCTGTGAATCGTACAGTGAAGTGCCTGGTCTGATGGGTCATACATCAAAGTGAATTCCAAACTCCCTAAATTAGCTGGAAAATAACATTCATATCAGTACTAACCACAGAATTCTATATCTTGTTAAGGATGTACAAACTGTCCTCAAAACTACATAAATAATAAATGATAATCTATAATAATGAAAAGGTGTGTCTGTGTGTGTGTGACCACCATAGCTCCAAGAGGAAAGAATCTAGCAACCTGAAATTTTGTATCCATACTAAGTGGACCATGAGGGTGTGTACCTAGGTATTATTAATTATCTTATCCATATGCGTGCATGCATGCGCATTCTTCTAATGAGGCAAGCTAGAGAAAAACCACATAGAATAACAACTTTAATATATAGAAAAGCCACTGTGTTTTGGTAACAAAGTGTTCCAACAATGGCTTTTATGTCATGTTGCTTAGCAACAAAAATATATGTTATACTTTTATGCTAATATGGGTTAAGAATACACACACTGACATAGTCATCTAGAATATATCAACCTAATAACCCGAGCGAAGCCGGGTATTTTCACTAGTTGTATGTATGTGTGTGTGTGTATGTATATATATATATATATATATATATATATATATATATATATATGTATATGTAGTGTTAGTTATTATATTATTATACTACTACTTCGTCGTAGGTTAAGGTTAGGTTTACGTTACGTTACGTTACGTTGTTTAGTTT